CCTTCCCTCCTCTGAGATAACACAGTGTTCTCCCATGTTATAGTACTTCTGTGGTTTTACTTTTCATATTTAGTTTTTAGATTCATGTACAATTTTTACATAAAGAATGAGATGGCAACCCAATTTACTTTTTTTTTTTTTTTGAGACGGAGTTTCGCTGTTGTTACCCAGACTGGAGTGCAATGGCAGGATCTTGGCTCACCACAACCTCCGCCTCCTGGGTTCAAGCAATTCTCCTGCCTCAGCCTCCCGAGTAGCTGGCACTACAGGCGAGCACCACCATGCCCAGCTAATTTTTGTATTTTTAGTAGAGACGGGTTTCACCATGTTGACCAGGATGGTCTCGATCCCAATTTACTTTTTTAGCCTAGGAAACTATCTAGTTGTTTCAACACAATTTGTTAAATAAGCTATGATTCCACTCTTAGTTTGAAAGACAAACCTCCTACTGCATTAAATTCTTATATTTATTTGGATCCAACTCTGGATTGCTTCTTTTTTTTTTTGAGACTGAGTTTTGCTGTTGTTACCAGACTGGAGGGCAATGGCACGATCTCGGCTCACCGCAACCTCCGCCTTCTGGGTTCAAGCAATTCTCCTGCCTCAGCCTCCCGAGTAGCTGGGACTACAGGCGCACACCACCATGCCCAGCTAATTTTTGTATTTTTAGTAGAGACGGGGTTTCACCTTGTTGACCAGGATGGTCTCGATCTCTTGACCTCATGATCCACCTGCCTCGACCTCCCAAAGTGCTGGGATTTTTGGTGTGAGCCACCGTGCCCGGCCTGGATTGCTTCTTTATCTGGTTCCACTAATGTGTTTGACTATTTCTCATATGCCTCATTTAAATAATTGTTCAATAGTTTACCTCAGTCTATATTTTTTCATAAATTTTTTGTCTCATTTGTAATTTCAGTCCAGTTTTAGTGCATTCTACTTGTATTTTTTTAATTTTCAAAATAAAATGCAAAGAATCCAATAATTTAGTATTTTATGTAACTTAAAAGTAATTATTCCCCCTTTTCTAAGAAGTTGGCAGCATTTCACCTTTTATTTCACTTGATCCTGACATACCTAAGGGGTGCTTACCATTTTCTTGATGTTGGTTCCAAGTTGTTGCTGTTTCCTTCTCCCGAGCTAATTCCTACCTGGTTTCACTGTGCTTACCTCTTCTCCCGCACTCTGAACGATTCCTCCCATATTCAAGCTATTCTCCTGCTTCAGCCTTCTGAGTATCTGGGATTCCAGTTACGTGCCACCACGCCAAGCTTATTTTTACATATTTTTAGTAGAAACGGGGTTTCACCATGTTGACCAGACTGGTCTCAAACTCCTGACCTTGTGATCTGCCCTCCTAGGCCTCCTAAAGTTTTGTGATTACAGGTGTGAACTATTGCGCCTAACCTATTTTCTTTGTTTTTAAGATGAAATCTTGCTCTTCTTGCCCAGGCTGGAGTGCAATGACACAATCTCAGCTCACTGAAACCTCTGATTCCTGGGCTCAAGTGATTTTCCTGCCTCAGCATCCAGAGGAGCTGAGATTACAGGTGCATGCCACAATGCTCAGCTAATTTTTGTATTTTTTTAGTAGAGACCAGGTTTCGCCATATTAGCCAGGCTGGTCTGGACCTCCTGACCGCAAGTGATCTGCCCACCTCAGCCTCCCAAAGTGCTGGGGTTACAGGCATAAGCCAGGAACCCTGGCACATTCCTGCTATTACTTATGTATTTTTTTCATTGTCAGACAATTAGAAAAATTACATTTGCAATTGATATTTGGCTTTGTTTGCAGTATAGCTTTCTGCTGCTGTTTATCACAGCCTAAGTTTCTCAAGTGTTCTGCAGAGAGGATTGGCAACCATGGCTTGGAGTGCCTATGGAGTTGGTGCCAGATGGACTGGGAGTAGGTATTGTCTGAATTAGATATTGGAGTAGATGAACCTTCACCCCCAGGCACCTTTTATTCAAATGACCGTAGTTAGTGGGATAGTGACAACTACAGAATCTGCATCTTTGCAAACAGCTCAGGGCCTGGAAAAGAGTCAGCACTCAGTGAATATTTACTGGCTGGCTGAGATTCCTACAAATGCCTTACTCTGCTACAAGATTCTCAGGTGAATGCGGATGATGACTTTAAAGTTCTTATACAGTTCAGAAACTGTATTCACATGTGCTACAGATAATTTTAAGAATTCAGGGCTGGACAGGGTGGCTCACACCTGCAATTCTAGCATTTTGGGAGACCCAAGCAGGCAGATCGCTTGAGGCCAGGAGTTTGAGACCAGCCTGGGCAACATAGGGAGACCCGCCCCCCATCTCCACACAGACACACACAAATTGGCCAGGTGTGCTGACAACGGATAGAGTCCCAGGTACTCAGGAAGCTAAGGTTGGAGGATCACTTGAACCTGGAAGGTTGAGGTTGCAGTGAGCCGTGATTGTGCCATTGCACTCCAGTCTGGGCAACAGAGGGAGACCTTATCTCAAAAACTGAATAAACCGTTATATCTATGTTTTGCTGTTAATTTCTATTATTTGAACTCAGGACTCTTTTCATCAAATCCTGTATTTACACCATCCAAAAAGAATTTATTTGATGGAATGAAACCACTGTGTGTCCCCTGTGGTTCTAAGATACAGCACCTTTTAACACAGATGCTTGTCCTGTGCACCCTGGTCTCTGGTCAAATAACAATTCCTCACTTAAGCCCCAGGGTCTGAGAAAAGGAAACATTATGAGCAGCTCTGATAGAGAATGAGCAGAAAGAAGTCAGAAATCTGACCAGGATCAATCCAGGCTCTGACCTTTCAGAGCTTTCCCCCAGCTCTGCCCTGCCCCCCTCCTCCCTGGCATGTCTCCTGGTGTTCCCCACCCTCAGGTGACAGGGGTGCTGTCCACTCCCCTGTGGTTTATCCAGCAGAGGAAATTCAGTCATTCCCAGGTTTATTCTGTGTCACTGCAGTCCATTCTCCACAGAAACTGAGTTTCTCTCTCTTTGAGTGGCCTTCATGTGCTCATGTAGCACCGAAGGCCTTTTCTATCACAATCATTTCTTGATTATCCATTTAGTAGCATTTCCACAAGAAGAGCTGAAAAGACTGACACAAACTTAAGTAACATTTCCTCTGACTATGAAAGTAATCTGGCCAGGTGCTGTGGCTCTTGCATGTAATGCCAGCACTTTGGGAGGCAGAGGTAGGCAGATCATGACGTCAGGAGATCGAGACCATCCTGGCCAACATGGTGAAACCGTATCTACTGAAATACAAAATAAAAATTAGCTGGGCGTGGTGGCACGTGCCCGTAGTCCCAGCTACTCAGGAGGCTGAGGCAGGGAAAATCACTGTATATATATCTATATATTGAGATGGAGTCTCACTCTGTCACCCAGGCTGGAGTTCAGTGGTGCAATCTATGCTCAGTGCAACCTCCACCTCACAGGGTCAAGTGATTCTCCTCCCCCAGCCTCCTGAGTAGCTGAGACTACAGGAGCGTGCCACCACGCCTGACTTATTTTTGTATTTTTAGTAGAGAGGGGGTTTCACCATATTGGCCAGGCTGGTCTCGAACTCCTGACCTCGTGATCCACCCACCTCAGTCTCTCAAAGTGTGGGGTTTACAGGAGTGAGCCACCCCACCCAGCCGTAAACAGGAGCATATTCACTTTGCTATTATTAATTTTTTTTTTTTGAGATAGAGTCTTACTGTGTCATTCAGGCTGGAATGCATGAAGTGTAGTGCTGCAGTCTCAGATGAAGGCATCATCAATCTTCTGGGCTGGAGCGATCCTCCTATCTTAGACTCCTTATTACTTGGGACGACAGGTGTGAGCCCCCTCGTCCTGTCTCACTTTGCAAACTTTTGGCTACAGGCATAAAGTCCATTCTTGGAGAATGGGTCCACTTATTCCAGTTTCTTGTCTAAAACATCCCTGTAATATCCAATTTTGATTTCTATAGAATGGATGAATAAAGACAGAACATAAAATACTTTTTTTTTTTGAGACGGAGTTTCGCTCTTGTTACCCAGACTGGAGTGCAATGGCACAATCTCGCCTCACCACAACCTCCGCCTCCTGGGTTCAGGCAATTCTCCTGCCTCAGCCTCCTGAGTAGCTGAGATTACAGGCACGCGCCACCATGCCCAGCTAATTTTTTTGTGTGTTTTTAGTAGAGACGGGGTTTCACCATGTTGACCAGGATGGTCTCGATCTCTTGACCTCATGATTCACCCGCCTTGGCCTCCCAAAGCGCTGGGATTACAGGCTTGAGCCACCGTGCCCGGTTACTTTTTTTTTTTGAGACAGAGTTTTGCTCTTGTCTTCCAGGCTGGAGTGCAATGGTGAGAGATCTCAGCTCGCTGCACAACCTCTGCCTCCTGGGTTCAAGCGATTCTTCTGCCTCAGCCTCCTGAGTGGCGGTATACAGATGCACACCGCCATGCCTGGCTAATTTTTATATTTGTAGTAGAGATGGGGTTTCACCATGTGGGCCAGGCTGGTCTCAAACTTCTGACCTTACGGGATCTGCCTCCTTTGGCTTCCTAAAGTGCTGGGATTACTGGCATGAGCCACAGCGCCCAGCTCAGAATGTAAAAGAACTTTAGAGACACTTAATACAATCTCCTAGGTCAGGTGCAAATGTTTCCAGGTGTGGTGGCTCATACCTGTAATCCCAACACTTTGGGAGGCTGACAGGAGGATCACTTGAGGTGAGGAGCTGGACACCAGCCTGGTTGACAAAGCAAGACCCCTATCTTTATTTTTAAAGAAACAAAAATTTCCAGCCTTTTTTTTTTTTTTTTTTTAATATGAAGTCTTGCTCTGTTGCCCAGGCTGGAGTGCAGTGGCATGTTCTCAGCTCAGTGCAACTTCTGCCTCTGGGTTCAAGCAATTCTCCTCACTCAGCCTCCCAAGTAGTTGGAACTACAGGCAGGTACCACCTGGTTAATTTATTCATATAACACCTGGTTAATTTATTCATTTATGTTTATTTGTTATCTAGGGAAAGCTCGAACACAGTTCCCCCCACCACAAATTATGCAGTCGAATTTTTCACATTTGGGGAATTTGCAGTGGTCAGCACATCCAGAATGCAATGGATGAGCATTGCCCTGGGAAACCACCTTTGTGATCATGGTATCTCCCCTGCCAGGTAATTTCTGTGTTTTTAGTAGAGACGGGGTTTCACCATGTTGGCCAGGCTGGTCTCAAATTCCTGATCTCAGGTTAACCACACTCCTTGGCCTCCCAAAGTGCTGATATTAGAGGCACAAGCCACCGTGCCCACCCACACATATATCTGTTTTTCTAAGCTCTTCACTCTTGGTATTATTTATGGGAGACAGGGTGTCTTTCTGTGTCCCAGGCTGGAGTGCAGTAGCACAATCACAGCTTACTGCAAACTCCGCTTTCTGGGTTCAAGTGATTCTCAGGCTTCAGCCTCCTGAGTAACTGGGTTACAGGTGCACTTGGGTAATTTTTGTAGTTTTTTAGTAGAGACCGGGTTTTACCAGGTTAGCCAGGCTGGCCTCAACCGCCTGATCTCAAGTGAGCTGCCTATCTGGGCCTTCTGAAGTCCTGGGGCTACAGGCATGAGCCACCCTGCCCAGCCCATTCCTGCTATTATTTAAATTGTATTTTTTTATTGTCAAACAATAAGAAAGTTTACATTTGGAATTGATATTTAATTTTACTTGTAGTGTAGCTTTCTGCTATTCTTTACCAGGGACTTTGTTTCTAAAGTGTTGCTCAGGGAGAATTGGTAACAACAGCTTAGAGTGCAAATGGAGTTGGTGCCAGATGGCCTGGGGGTCAGTATTGTCTGAATTAGATACTGGAACTCCTGACCCCTTACCCCAGGTCATTCTATTCAAATGATCATCGTTAATGGGATATGGACAACTACTAAGGAATCTGTATCTTTGTATACAGCACAAGGCCCTGAAAAGAGTCATTGTTTGGGGAATATTTACTGTCTGGCTGAGATTCCTGCAAAAGCCTAACTCTGCTACAAGATTCTAAGGTGCATGTCGATTATGACTTTAACGTTCTTGTACAGTTCACAAACTCTATTCACACGTGCTACAGATAATTTTAAGAATTCAAGGCTGGGCTTGGTGGCTCACAGCTGCAATTCCAGCATTTTGGGAGACTCAAGCAGGCAGATGGTTTTGAGTCCTGGAGCTCCAGATCAGCTTGGGCAACACTTCATCTCCACAAAAAAATAAAAATAGCCAGGTGTGGTGACAGCACCTATATTCCCAGCTACTCAGGAAGCTAAGGTGGGAAGATCACTTGAACCTGGGAGGTTGAGGTTGATGAGTCCTGATTATGCCACTGCACTCCAGTCTGGGCAACAGAGGGAGACCCTATGTCAAAGACAAAATAAAGTGTTGTTTCTATGTCTTCCTATCAAAATTAGAACTTAAGACTCTTTTCATCAAATCCTGTATTACACCATCCAAAAGTAATTTATTTGATGAAATGAAACCACTGCGAGTCCCCTGTGGTTCTAAGATGCAGCACCTTCATTTTATTTTATTTTTTTTGAGACAGAGTCTCATTTTGTCCAACAGGCTGGAGTTCAATGGCATAAATCTCTACCCACTGCAACCCCTGGCTCCTGGATTTGAGCAATTCTTCTGCCTCAGCCTGCCAAGAACCGGGTGTGCGCCTCTATGCTCAGCTAATTTTTGTACATATTTTGTTTGTTTGTTTGTTTGAGATGGAGTTTCGCTGTTGTTACCCAGACTGGAGTGCAATGGCACGATCTTGGCTCACCGCAACCTCCGCCTTCTGGGTTCAAGCAATTCTCCTGCCTCAGCCTCTCGAGTAGCTGGGACTACAGGTGCGCACCACCATGCCCAGCTAATTTTTTTTTTGTATTTGTAGTAGAGATGGGGTTTCACCTTGTTGACCAGGATGGTCTCAATCTCTTGACCTCATGATCACCCGCCTCGGCCTCCAAAAGTGCTGGGATTATAGGCATGAGCCACCGTGCCCGGCCTTAATTTTTGCATTTTAGTAGAGATGGGGTTTCACTATATTGGCCAGACTGGTCTGGAACTCCTGACCTTGTGATTTGCCTGCCTCAGGCACCAAAAGTGCTGGGATTACAAGTATGGGCCACTGAGTTCAGCTGATACAGCACCTTTTAATACAGGTGCTTGTCCTGTGCACCCTGGTCTCTGTTAAATAACAGCTCCTCATTTAAGCCCTAGGGTCTGAGAAAAGGAGACAGTGTGAGCTGCTCTGATGCTCCAGACCCTTGGCACCCAATGGAAGTCACACTCCAGGGAGCTGAATCCTGAGAACTCGTCAAGCCTTGCTCTAGTCACACTACTGGAGGCTGACTAGTCAACCCATGGCTGAAGCTTGAGGAATCTTCATCAAATAAGTAAATGCAGACTGAAATCTTAATACTTGGTGCTATTTTGGCAATACTTGCTGGTTTGTTACTGTGCTGTTGCTGCTGCCATCCCCTAGAGGACATTTCTTGTCCCTGCTTAGTGTAACATGCCACTTTCTGCTTTGTCCATAATGACTTGGATACTTGTCCTACCCAACCTGCCATTCCGGCCGCCCAGTACCATCGCACACCCCCTACTACCAACCAACCCAGGCTACCTCAACCGAACTCATTCATTGCTAAACCGAACTCATCCAACCCAGCCAAAGACTGTTATGTATCTCTCTCTCTGATGCAGCATATGCTGCAGTCCCAGTCCCAACAAAAGCCTGGGTCACCACCAGCATGTATCATCACCCTAAATATGAAAGCCAGGCTATTTCAGGGCCTCTGACCCCGCAAGCCCTAGCCCAGTTTCCAATCTCTGAAACAACAAAAACCACTTTAGTAGGATGGGCACTCAGCCTCCTACGGTTCTACACAAATAATTTCACAGGCCCATCAAATGGCCAGCCTGTGCATGGGCCCATAGCCACTAGCACAGAGTGAACATTCCAGGCCCCCATATGTATCCAGTGCAACCTGCCATCAGACACACCCTTAGGGTATGTGCAGCCTCACCAGTGTAACTACACTTTACAACTTAAAATTCCTTGTGACTACAGGCCGGGCGTGGTGGCTCACGCCTGTAATCCCAGCATTTTGGGAGGCCGAGGCGGGTGGATCACGAGGTCAAGAGATCGAGACCATCCTGGTCAACATGGTGAAACCCCGTCTCTACTAAAAATACAAAAATTAGCTGGGCATGGTGGTGCGTGCCTGTAATCCCAGCTACTCAGGAGGCTGAGGCAGGAGAATTGCCCGAACCCAGGAGGCGGAAGTTGCCGTGAGCCGAGATCGCACCATTGCACTCCAGCCTGGGTAACAAGAGCGAAACTCCGTCTCAAAAAAATAAAAAAAATAAAGTAAAATAAAATTCCTTGTGACTATGCAAGCTTCCACGTTGTTCAGGAAGTCTCTTTCAGGAACCATGTTCGCTTTTCCTCATTACCCAGCACAGGGGCCCTACTAAGCCCTGAGAAACTACTCAACAAAAATTCACACTTCTGCAATGGCAGACACAGCCCATGTGTAGCTATGCACCCATGGACTCCTTGTAGCTCACCTCCCACAATTGAATGTCTCCTTGTGCCAACCTTCCATCATTCATCCGAATGGATTCTGGTTGACGCCAAATGATTCTTCCTCCAGTGGGAGAATAGGACTAAGGGGGCCTCTCAAGTCTCCCTAAGCGGCCCTTACTGACCCTTTACTGGAGCTACACTGGCCAATACCCTAAACGTGTGGGAAAATGACAATAACAAACTAGTGCCTCTCTTTAGTATATACCACCAATTTTGCCTGAATAACCAAGGCATATTTTTTATATGTGGAACCTCAACCTACTTATGTCTCCCCACTAACTGGACTGATATCTGTACACTGGTCTTCCTGTCCCCCAAAATTGGCATTGCCCCAGGGGGAAAATCTTCCAGTCTCCAAAACACTCAAGTCCCACCACTATGGACCATACAACTAAAACCTTACTTGTGGGATTGGGAATAGCTGTAGCAACTGGGACAGGAATAGCAGGGCTGCCTACCTCCTTGTCTAACTACCATGCCCTCTCTAAAGACCTCTCGGGCAGTCTGGAGGACATGGCAAGGTCCTTTCTTACCCTCCAGTCTCAAATAGACTTTCTTGTGGCAGTCACACTTCAGAATTGGTGAGGCCTGGACCTCATTACTGCCGAGGAAGGAGGACTATGCGCCTTTCAGGGAGAGGAATGTTGCTTCTACACCACCCAGCTGGGAATGGTACACGATACAGCCCTATGGCTAACTGAAAGGTCCTCTGAAATTAGACAACACTGTAGCAGGAGTGGCCGTGGGAAAGGATCTCTCGGACACCGAATACAGGAGAAAGAAATTTATTTCAGCTGAGAGCAAGGCGGCATAGGTGCCTAACAGCCAAGCTCCTCTAACAAAGGGAGGTTCAGCCTTTATATAGGCTTATACTCTCTAGATGTTAAATGTGGAAGAATCTTAGGTTCATAGTTTAGGACTCACATGTGAAAAGGTCTCTTTACAGTTTCAGGAATTAGGTATGAAAGGGTTCCGATTTACAGTTTTAGAACTTACATGTGAAAAGGTCTCTGTTTACAGTTTCGGGAATTACATATGAAAGGGTTCCGGTTTACAGTTTTAGGACTCACATGTGAAAAGGTTTCTGGTTTGATCTTGTTTTAAGTAAAAATAGTGCCTTCTGGAGAGTTTCCCCAAGGCCTAGCCTGTTGTTTTCAGGAAGGAGATTCAGGAGGCGCCAGCTGGCTTGCTCTCTGTTTTATTGAGATGCACAGTGGATGACAGAGAGGGAGGGAATCCCAAACGCCTGGGTCTCCCTCCTCAGCACCTCTCAGACTCATGGACCACCTGGTTCCACCTCTGGAATTGGGCACCATGGCTCCTCCCACTGATGGGACCCCTTGTTGCCATATTATTCCTTTTAGTCTTTGGCCCTTGCTTAATTAACATGCTCTGAAGCTTCATTGAAGTCACAGTTATTAGGAAAACAAATACGCAGTTTTAGCCCTCCGAGGGTACAAGCCACTAAGTACAGACACCAGGGTGTAGAAGGTGATGCTCCCTAATATCCATAAGGGAGCATCAAAAGGGGGGATGAAGTGGAAATTTTGCCCAGGATTTTGTCAGCA